TATATATGTTTGTGTGTACCTAATAATGTTATAAATATGTATATATATTGTATATATAAATAGATACAGATATATTATATTATATATATATTATATATATATATATATATATATTATATATATATAATATAATATATATATGTATATATATGCAGTATATATATATATATATATATATATAATTATATATGTATATATAACATATATGTATGTATGTATGGTTATGTATATATAATATATAATATTATAAATTATATATATTATATATATATATATACTATATTTAATTTATTATATAACACATATATACAGTTATAAACATGCACACACATCATATATACATATCTATCTCTCTCTCTCTCTCTTGCCACGCCGCTCTCTCTCTTATAAGATATATATATAATTAGTATCATATATATAATATATATATATATATATATATAGACAGACGAGAGAGAGAGAAGAGAGAGAGAGAGAGACGAGAGACGAAGATGACGAGAAAGAGAGAGAGAGAGCGAGACAGACGTGAGTGAGAGAGAGATGAGAGAGAGAGAGAGAAGAGAGAGAGAGAGAGAGAGGAGAGAGAGAGAGAAGAAGAGGAGGAGAGAGAGAGAGAGAGAGAGAGAGAGAGAGAGAGAGAGAGAGAGAGAGAGAGAGAGAGAGAGAGAGAGAGAGAGAGAAGAGAGAGAAGAGAGAGAGAGAGAGAGAGAGAGGAGAGAGAGGAGAGAGAGAGAGGAGAGAGAGAGAGAGAGAGAGAGAGAGAGAGAGAGAGAGGAGAGAGAGAGAGAAGAGAGAGAGAAGAGAGAGAGAGAGAGAGAGAGAGAGAGAGAGAGAGAGAGGAGGAGAGAGAGAGAAGATGAGAGGAGAGAGAGAGAGAGAGAGGAGATGAAAAGAAAACGAGTACAAAATATAAAAAAGTAAACTAAACTCGTATTACATCTAATGTCAAAGGCCTAATAATGTTAAAGATAATAATGCCACTCCAGAAAAAAAAAACTTAATACTTTGAATACATTTTATCTATCAATCGCCGGAGTTCAACCGCCCGAAACACGCCCCGTTCATCAGCTGTCACTTGTAAACATTACCAGATAAGACCAGACGAGGTATATTTTGTCGAATTGATGCCTCTGGTGACGCACTTTTGGCCAATATGATGATGGAACAAGTGTTAGAGAAGAAACTCAACGTCACGAGACAATTAGAAAAGGTTAGTTTGCCTGCCGGAAGTGAGTTTGAGGTTAGAAGAGAGAGTAAAGTTGTTCGAACCTATAAAAACAGTTTTTAGCATGTTTTATTATTGTGATTTCCTGTTCTTTTGTTCCTTATTCTTTTTAAAGGAAATGGCTTTTGAAGCGTTTCAATACAGTAGATTCAGTAGCATTATTTACACCATAAAGTACACATCTGGTAAGCACTATGGATTAGCCAATTTTTTTACTGAATTGTTTGGTGCCACTATATTAATATCTGAATTTATGCTGTTCTGGGTACTGGTCCAGTTTCATATAGCCTTGGGTACAGGTAAAGTTTCTGCCAGTCGCCTTTTTGACAAAAGATGATATATGCAAACGATAGTGCAAGTGATTCTAAACAACTTATCTTCTATGGACTTTCTTCGCAGCTAAAAAATAACAAAGTTATTGGACACGCAAGTGTCTCAGAAGAAGTTACTGTTGTTGTTGTTAATGGTATTACGGATGTTTTAGCAGTTACTGTAAAGTATCTTCTATAATCAAATATTTCTTTAAGGCATGGGTAATTGTTACAGAGTGACGCACCCTCCCAGAGACTAAATTGGTATGCACGGCAAGATAGAGCTGCTTGCACACAGTAAAATAATAAACCAAATACCTTTATATCTGCAACCGTCAAACTTTCGTTCGCTTCCTTCTAGCGTCTGGATTACTTCGATTTTAATAACTTTTTTTGGCATTTGGAGCTCTTGGTGGGCCCACATATTAAACTGGGGTCATTACTTAAGCCTATTTTATCTTCTTTGTCACTGTATAGTCATAAGAATAACCCAGAATGAACACAACAATTGAAACGCAACATTTCTTATCGGCATTCCATCTCGAAATGAGCGGGCCGGCCAGGTGTCAACCTGACAGCAGGCGAAAGGAAGTGTGAAATGTAGAATGCGCACGAATTTAAATAAGGCTAGAAATCAATCTTAAAACATGTAAATGAAGTATAAGGACATTTATAAAACACTAAGAGCGTGAATGTGTAACATTATACACTGATAAGTAGCCAAATATTGTTTTGACGCACGTAGTAATACTGGTACTACATAGGGCATGCATTAAGGAGTTATGCAGTCAGTGTTGTGTTTTACTTCACAAGGTAAACAAGCTGATGGACTTAGAATTTGAAAGGCGCCCGCGCGGTGACTATAAGGCCGCTGCAGCTTAAAGTATATTCTATCCTTCTCTATTTTTACCGCTCTATAAGATGGCAGTGTCCATTTATCTCAATCTATGCGCGTTGGCATCTGTAACTTCTTCCAGGGTATATTTTCTGCTGAATTGTTAAATCTGATGCTATCCATGAAGTCCATTGGTTTCCAAGTTCTTTCGGCTAGGGATGTACATACGCTTAGTTAGGTCTACTTGGGTTGGGTTAGACTGGAAACAGAAAAGTGTAAAGTTTTTCTCTTGTAACCTCTATACAAAGCATCCACATTGGCCAATTGCAAGTTGCCCCCAAAATAAAAGAATGTTCACTTGCTAGATCTTCTCTTGTCAGAACAGAACTGAGTGAAGGTTTTGCAAGACTGGGAGAGGGTAGGGAGCACTAACCCCATTTAAGGAGGATTTTAGGGAGCAGAACATCCTAAAAAGGAACATGCTCTTCAGTTGTATACACTATAAGAAATGTATATTAAAAGATTTTACTTTGTAATTTCCTTTGCATACTACTTGCTATCTGCATTCAGTAAGACCAGTATCATGACAATAATTGTACAGTATGAATCAGAACTTCAGTAAGTGAAGACTACCAGTTGTGTGGACCTTTAACTAAGATTTGCTGTTAAGAATTAAAGATGAAAAGGAATCATGCTAATAGATTTACTAACAATATTATTTACTGATAAAGATGTTTACTTTCTATTCATCTCTTATATTATTCCTTCTGCATATCTTTTTTTTTATAGGAAACAAGTCAAGTCGTCACGCTGAAGGACATCCTGTCACGTTCAGGACAAGTTGCTACCAATGTGAGTGGAATCCTTGACTCCTTCGAGCACCGTCTGGCACGCCTTGAGACAACCATCCTTCCACTCTACCAACAGACAGGAAATCTCCAAAGACGGCAGAGGAGTACGTAGGCTTCCTTAGTGGGACTGTAGATAGGCTAGGCTAGATTTTTAATAGGTTTTGGTTTGATTTTAATATAAGAAAACACATATCTATAAAATTTAGATGTAGATTTTGATGTTTGATGTATTTAAGTACAAGGTATATGTCTTAAATCTGATTTAAATAAGGTCATGTGAAAATAATGATGGCATTAGCATTGGACTTTTAAGTTTGTGGAAGTAGATTTTTTTTGTTATTTACTTTTTAGTTTTATATGTTGATCTTTCATTTTTTTTTTTTCTGATTATAGGTATGAATAAAGCAAACAATTCTTGAATCTTTGGTTATCCTTTAGCAAATTTCCATACCCTTCAAAAGATAACCCCGTCCCCCTCCCACAAATATAGAAAAGACAACAAAAAACAACCAAGCCTACAATAGCAAATAACCCATAAATTTACTCTGGAAACCAGTCTAAGCCACTTTTCCTTCTTGCCTTACAGACACTGAGAAAACCCTGCAGGAACTCGACTATGTGATCAGTTTCTACAATGTGGCAGGGCAAGTGGAAGGGACGGTGCGGGAGAGGCCAAGCAGCGTCGGTGTCCCACAGTACCTGGAGGCCATGAACCGCTTGGCTGAAGCTTGTCGCTATTTTGAGCAGAACAACCCACAAAGTGTTGAAATTGAGAACGTGGTAAGGTAGCCTCTGTATTGGTCTTGGGCTTCTTTCGCTCTTTCTCTATCTTTCTTTCTTTTATCGTATTTTTCTTCTTTTTTTTTCATTGTCTTCTTCTTCTTCTTCTTCTTCTTTTTCTTCTTCTTCCTCGTCTTTTTTCTTTTTCTTCTCTTCCTCTTCCTCTTCTCCTTCCTCCTCCTCTCCTCCTCTTTTCCATGCTCATCCTCATTCTCATTCCCTCTTTTTCTTCTTCTTCTTCTTTATCTCTTGCTGATCAAATAGTCATCAAAAATATCACCAATTTTGAAACTTCTAATCCCTTCACTCCTCCTCCCCTCTCCCCTCCTCCTCGGCAGACTACCCTCTTTGAGGCTGGTACAGACGCCCTCAGCAAGGAATTCCGAGATGAGCTCAAGAAGTACCAGAAGCCAGTACCTCCTGTTGTCACACTTGAGCTCCTAGATGAGGAAGGTAGGAGAAGTTCAATCAGAGAGATATGAACGAGGAATTGCAGTATTAGATATGTGATGTGGGCCTTCTCTAATATGAAGACTTGTTTGTTATTGGCAACTCGTAGTGGAAGTTATATGAATTCATCATATGTCTGATGTGTTGTGTGTGTGTGTGTGTGATGTGGTGTGTGTGTGTTTGTGTGCTTTTGTGTGTGTGTGTTGCTGTGTGGTGTGTGTGTGTGTGTCGTGTTGTGTCTGTGTGTGTGATCGTTTTAGATAAGCCAATGAGGTACAAGTATACAAGTGCCTTCCTATTTTTCAGAACTAAGTGAAGATACCATCATCCAGCGGGGTAAGCTCGTACCCAGGGGTGCGAAGGACCCTGAGGGCCATTGCCACCTGGCATTCAGACAGCGGCTAACACTGACAGCGCTACCCGTGTATTGCCAAGCTGCGCTCTAATGCCCTGTCACAGAGTCTGCAGGTCAGTGCCTTAGGAAAGAGTGTAATGGAGGATTGGGGTTATGAAATCTCAGCTGCTCTATGCGGTTTACAAAAAGTTAAGGAAGGTCGTTAATGAGAAGGAATCATATTTGTAAGGCACTGAATTGTTTTTGACATTGTAATCAGAAGATCGTCCAAATGGATTAATCAATCGCTATGTAAGCCAATTTATCTTGCCTGATGAAATATTCATTCGCATTCTATCCCCATCCCACTATCATCACAGTAATTGTATGAGCGATGAAGAAAAGAGAGTTGTTGCTGTTGAGTATTAGAATGTGTCAGGAGGGATGATTATTCTCTCGTGTTTCTTTGTCTCTCTCTTGCGCTTGCGCCTGATGTCCGTCACGTCGTTCATAAAATTTTCTACTTGAAAGTCAGTGTTTCTCGCAGGGCTCTAGTGTTGTTGTGCGGTTTGGTGTTAAGCATCATTCGATCTGCTTTCTTGGATTGAACTTATGGTTTTAATAAATTGGTTTTAACTTTTTTTTTTTGGTGTTTGTTGGCATCGTTGTGATTGTAAAGTGATATGTGTGCCAATTTGTATTATATTTCTTTCTAGAAATAATGTCAGCCCGATATTCGATTCCAATTGTTAGTCAAGCATCACTGACAAAAGCATACTCAGAAGAGCTATCCAATTGAGAACCAAACAATCACTCTCACTTGTGGAGACAGAATTCATTTAAGACTGCGGAAGCCAACTTTCTCAAGTTGGGAGCGTTGTTTTTGATATCATTTACTTTCCAAAAGGATCAGATGAATATTTCTCAGGGGCGAGTGCGTGGTGGCATCCATAAGAAATCTGAAAGATGATCTATGGCGGGTCTAATTTTTTATCCTGTATCAAAACACTTATTATGCTCTTGTGATGAGACCCCTGGGAAAATACCCTTTCCATTTTTATCTTTCCAAGTGATTTGCATAGATATAGAAATGAATTATATTTTTTTTGGGTTTCACTAATATTGCCAGTCACACTGTGCTGTTGCTGAAGATAACCGCTGACCAAACTCTAGCCCAGTCTTATCACCCCATCCTCCCTCCCCCCTGTCAGACACCCCTGACATCGCGCAAGGGACTACTGCTTCTCGGTTCGCACAGCTCGATCTTGGACCTCCTCTTAATCGCGCCCTTAACGATCGTTCTCGACCTAGGCCACAGCTCCACGGACTGCCATCCCTCGCACACCGGTGGAACCTGATCAACCGAGCACAGCCAGCTTCATTGTGAGATTTAGGGAGTACGCGGGGCTCCCCTCAATTCCCCCTCCCCCTATCCGTGCCAGCCCGGTTACAGGTGGTGTTGTGTTAGATCGACACCACTTTCCTAAGAGCCGCACACAGAAAATTTCCCAACAGGTACAGATTTGTTTGTTTTCTCATAACTCTCTAGTGACGTGCTTAGATTCTAGTCTCTCCTATATGTATGAAAGCTTCACTGACATCCTGGGTTTTATGGATTAAGGACTTGTGTTGCTTAGGGTTTGTCTTATTTCGTTCATCTTTTAATTCTATATCTCGGCAAAAGAAAACCATAATATATGGAAAGTCAAAACATTTCATGAATGCCAGACATATTGAAGCTACAATTAGATCATTGCATTGTATAAACTACATAAAGTTGTCTCTCTCTCATTTGCAGTATATTCTTATGTTTGTATTTTCTATTCTATTTATTTATTTATTTTTTTTTTCTTCAACACTCCCCAAAACACAGGTAACCAAAAATATGCAATGTACTTATCATTTTTACATGATTTTCATTGTCACAGAGTTGAAATAAGAAAAAAGCCAGTGGTTGGACCCCCCCTCTTCCCCCTTAATAGAAAAAAAAAAAAAAGATGAATTTAGACAAAATTAGATAAAATTAGGAATAGTAGAAGCCACGAGTAAACAGAGAACCCTTTCTCCTCTATCAGTCCCAAAATCCGACTGCTTCACAGAGGGGGAGGCATTCAAAGGTCAACTCCGTTCACGCAGACAAGGGTTCTCCTGGACATACCTGTACTCCTGCATGGCAACCCTTCACCCCACCCGATGAGTTAGCGCTCAGATCACTCCCCCAGGAACTTCTTTCCTGAGTATGTGATCGGTTTACCCGCCCACACCTCGTTGCCAACAGGAGGCGGAGCTACTTAAGTTAAAGTAGAGATCGGCCCGCTTGATTAGGGGGGCGTCGAGTCACATCCTCGCGGCAGACTGGGGATGGGTTATGGACGGAAATGTCACCCCAGTA